ACCACTTCCCAGATTCGAACCTGTGACCTTTGGTCAGCAAGTTCAGCAGCTCAGAGTTTTAACCCAATGCGCCATCAGGGGCATTATTGTAGAGACATCTAAGTCCATGGGATAGTCCCCATAGCTGTTTATTTGGAATTATTGTCCTCTCGCTGGACACTCGTTCTGTTTGTCCAACCCACTCTTTAACCTTTGGGCTGTTCCTTCCAGGCCTTGATAAACTACTGTTCCCAAGGATATTGTTACCCTCCTCCAATATTGACTCCTTAAATAAGCAGACACAAGATTGCATTCTACTCATGCCACTTTATCACATTCATTAACTACTACTGAGCCACCCACTTAAGACATTGCAACCTACTGTGCCCATCACATGACGTAGGCTTAAAGTGTAGGGTAGAGGTATCTTGACATTTAAAAAAGGATTGCAAAGGGTTATCTTTTCAGACAGTTTCTAAGCTGGTTGGCAAGTGACCTTTTTGCAAATTATCCAGATAGAGATGTCTCCTTCTTTCCCTCCTTCCTTTCTTCTTCCAACATGGGGAAGGGGAGGGAGAGAGTGAGAAGGATAATCAGAATGGCAGCAAATGGAGAGCTCCCAGTTGCCTCCTTTCCTCCTCCTCTTCCTCCTTTGGCTGACCCCAAAGGCCATCTAGTCCAACCCCCTCCTTTCTGCCATGTAGCAAAAGCACAATCAAAGCACCCCTGACAGGTGTCCATCCTACCTCTGAATGATGACAACAACAACAACAACAACAACAACAAAGAAAATATGTTCCTAGTTTGCAAGTGTTATTTCTTGTTTAATTTTATAGTCCTTTCTTTGAAAGTAGTTGTGCTTCAGAAACTTTGTTTTTGTGTCCACAAACTCTGTTAAATTGGTGGAGACACTACAACATATCCAATCATTGAGAAATTAGAGAAAAATGTGCTATAGCAGGATGTCCCTCATGCAAAGACAAAGTTTTTGCAGTTTAATGCACTTGTATTTATGATAAAGCCAATTACTAAATGACATTTATAACCCAGGAACAGATATCATAGTCTAGGAGAGAAGGTGTTTCTTTTCACAAAGAAAATGGAGGAGGGACAGTGGGTGGGAACAACTCTCTACAATGTGATGGCAAATCAACTGAGAATTCTTGAATAAAACAGATAGATTGCTAGTTGGAGATAGGAAAATCATCCATTTAAACAGAGTATGCATGAGCTGTATGGTAAACCTACTTTCCAAACACTTGACTGGTTCAGTGGGATGAATCTATGATTAGAGATTAAATTCTCTAATTGCCATTTTTTTAATGGCTCACTCCACCTACATGCCTAATGGAGGGCCTTTCCACGCAGCCCTATATCCCAGAATATCAAGGCAGAAAATCCCACAGTATCTGCTTTGAACTGGAATATGTGGTAGTGTGGGCTCAGATAACCCAGTTCAAAGCAGATATTGTTGGATTTTCTGCCTGGATATTCTGGGATATAGGGCTATGTGGAAGGGTCCAGAGTGTAGAGTTGCTTCTCAAGAAACATTTTGCAACACCTCCCCTCCTCTCCCTTTCCCTTGTGTCTGTCATGCTGATTTGATGCCATGGGCAAGGCTACTGTTAGACATAGCTCAATGCATCAGTGTATCTCAAAATAGCATATTTTCCCTGGGTTTTGGGGCGTGTGACTCTTGAGATTTCAAGATATTTGAAGTAAGGGAAGGACTTAACCTTATCATGCAGCCCTATACATTGTTCTTCATAGGAAAGCAGTTAGGTGATGGAGTTATTGGCATCTGGGGCTAGCAAAATGGAGTACTGTTGGCAACAGTGGGAAAGGGAACATTAAGAAAAACTACTTTGCGTTGGATTTGCATCTGTTCTGATTAATATAATCATAGATTTATAAAAATTTGTTTTTTCCATGTTACTTTACAACTTCAGTTTACGCTTAAGCTTTCAGTGGAACGAAAATGTTTTAAAAGCAAGTTCTGATATCTTTCGTTAAATTAACACTATTCATTTCTACCTATTTCTGCCACATGCTCCAACTGATTCTTTTTTGGTTCATGCATAAACTTTCTTATAACAACTACTGGCAATTAATTAGCTACTTCATTAACAAGTTACACTTAATTTTATTAGCCTACCAGGTTCATATCAAAGAACTCAATTCACAGATCTAGACTACAACTCCTAATTGGCATGTAGTTTTAAGGTTGCTATTAAAACTATAAAACTGATTTACTACAAAAATACCTAAGGAAAGGAATGTGTTCTGTATTGTACCCTTTGCAACATTGTTAAACAAACCATTAGCAGTAAATAATAATTACAGAAGGTTTCCTCTTGTTCATTTATTTAAAACAGTTTGTGGCCCCAGACAGCGAAAATGGATGCTAGAACAATTTTGAGAGAGAGAGAAAATCTGAATGCTCTTACAGTTCATTGGCTGTAGTCCATTGCTGAAGACCAACATTATCCCCACCTCTGATCCCCACCTCTGATTTTAAATGGAAAAGCTAAAAGGACAAACAAAGTTGCAATTTTGGCTCTATGGGTACATCTACACTGCTGAAATAATTCAGTTTGATACTACTGGGGTTTGTAGTTTGGTAAATCAGCAGAACTCTTGCCAGAGATGGCTAAATATGTGGGGTGCTTCCAGACAGGCCCCAAAATGTGGGGCCTGTCAAGCTTTTACCTGAGGCTTCCAAACGACCCCTCTGATAAAAGCGAATTAATTCGGGAGAAAGCAACTAAACTAAAAACTTTAGTCTTTAGTTATAAAGCCCTGTATCACATAATAAGACCATTTTACACATGTGAATACCTGTTCTAGGTTATCTTGGCAGCCCCATATCAAGCGCATTACATCAGTCCATCCTGGAAATAACTCTCCACACATCAGTGAAACAAGGAATACCCTTTTTAGGCAGGACTAAAAAGTCTCTCTTGGGATGCTTTAGCAGTAGGTTCCTGCAATGTTAGAAGATTCTTTCCAACTCTAATGGCCCTTGGGGCTCTTTCCAACTCCATAATTTTGCGGCTATGGTTGTGGTTATGACATGATGTGCCAAACTAAGCTGTGAAAAGCATTACTGGCTACTTCTGCTGCCTGAACTTTCAGTATGCACAGGTTACAGGAAAAATTCCAAGATGTACATGTGTTCTACACAGAGAAGCACAGTGGCAAACAACACTCTAAGAATTCTGTATGCTCCATGGGAGAAGTATGTGAAATAGAAGGAAAGCTGAATACCATTATTATATTGTTGCTTGGAGCTTCCCCACATCCCCAAACATATTCAGTCTCCATAGTTACCCCCTGCATATATTTATTGTCCTCAACTGAATACCTGAAAAGTGTGTACAATATGAACTAAATTCAAGGTTCTTCTCCACATTTTATTTTATAGATCTGTTTTGCATTTAATCTATTCATTGCCTGGCTTTCTGCCTTTACCTCTCTGTAACTCTCGACCATTTATTTTGGGTATAGGCACACCTTTTACATAGTCTGTCTAAATAGTGAAGATTATCCAATTCTTACATATTCTATATGGAAATTACTGCATATTTATTAGGTAAATATAACCTCTTTGCAGTCCAAATAAAGTTCAAGAGTGGAAGATTATTTCACCATGTGATGTTGTACTTTATGCGACGCCACTACAGATTGTGAAAGGTGTAGCCTTCACAAAAGCCATTTGCAAAGAAAGAAAATATGCTACAGAATTTAACAAAGTGTGTTTTCTGTTTGTGAATTTCAAAATAATTTTCTCTTCACAATCTCTCTCTTCCACTTTGTTGCTTTGCATATCCCCCTTTCTCTCATATCTATATATTCTTTATTCCCATCTTTCTCCATGTCTTTCTTCTGCTACTTCTTCCATTTCCCTGTCTTGTGTCTTGTCCACTACCTCTTTCCTCTCCACTTCCCACCCCCCTCTTGTTCTACAACAGGCTTTGCCTCCCATACATTTTAATTTTCTTTCAGTTACATCCCACCTTTCTCTCACTATAGGTTTATGCTACCTCCATTTAGCCCACTCTTGCAGATGTTCAGTCCATTGGGTAGCATTGACTGTTGTCCTTCTTTGTTAATTTCTCCATCTTGTCTGAGGATCTCTGCGGGCAAGTCCTCCTCTATAAAGCAAGTGTGGACCATTTGTGGTCTTTCAGTTAATGGAACCCCACAGACTCTTCACCATTGGCTACACTTGGTAGGACAGATTCTAGAAATTTGGGATGAGAGAGCTAGAAAGTGTGGGAAGGAAAGTTTGACAGGTTCAGCCAGTGGATTCTCATGGCATAATTGTTCCACCAGAAACTCATTACTTCATCATGCTAGAGATAGAAATCCACTTAAAATGCAGTTTCTGCCTCCTGCAGAATTCTGGGGTTTGTAGTTTAGTGAGGTTGTTAAAGGCTCCTCCCTAAACTACAAACCCCAGAATTCTGCAGGAGGCAGAAGCCGGATTTTAAGTGGATTTTCTCTCTCGTGTGATGAGAACCTCAGAGGAGCACAGAAGAGATTTCTTAGTCCCCACTTGTACCATGTGAATAATAATTATTTCAAAATGCTTTGCAAGTTTAAAAAGTGCATTGTAAATATTAGAGATTTACATGAGAGAACATTCCAGACTATGGAATGACCAGCCAGAAGAGATTCCTCAGCTGAATGTAATAAGCAAGTTTAGAACAACACTTTGAAACTAACACCTTTTGGAAGGCTTATTCAGATGATTTTTAAATTATTAATTTTAACATTTGTATTGTTTGTAATATCCATCACTTTTATATGCTATTTTAATGGTTTATGTGCCATTTTTGTTCTATATGACCTTTTAACTGCACTATATATTTAATTTGTTGTTCTCTACGGTGAACTCTACGGAGATACAGGAAATAAATAAGTAAATCACAAATAAATAAATAAATCCAAATAAATTTCCTCCCCTCCTCCACTTGTTCCTTGTATGGCTTTTGACTTACTGTAAACTATTTTTGTAGGTTCCAGATTCAAAGAGGAAAAAGCGATCCATCCAGTTACAAGAGCCTGAGGCATTGTTTTAGAACCATATTCCAGACAGAAGGGTAAGAATATATGCAACAATTATATTTTCATTTGGAGACCTTTTTAAAATAAATTGTATATTATCTTAATGATTTCATTTCAAGTTTGTATTCTACTTTTCCTTCTGAAAATAAACCCCCAAAAGGACAAAACGATCAAATTTGCATGCTTCCTGTACTCTGCAGGGGTTACAAGGGCTATAATTTTGCTGTATTTTTATCTGTTTCAGGATATGATAATGGGATCTACCATTATCTGGTTAACAGCTATGGGAATCTTAGTGATACGTGGAGCTAAGTTACATTTGTTGAGGGTAACATCATAAAGAGTTAGAAATCACAAGAGACCAGTGAAAGTGACCATCTTGGGGAAATTGAGATGGCTTAGGGTATATAAGGCAAGACCTAAGGGTAAACAAAGACCTAAGGGCTGAATCAACTGCATCACCAAGGGCAGTGGTTCTCAACCTGTGGGTCCCCAGATGTTTTGACCTTCAACTCCCAGAAATCCTAACAGCTGGTAAATTTACCTAACAGCTGGTAAATTGGCTGGGATTTCTGGGAGTTGTAGGCCAAAATACCTGGGGACCCACAGGTTGAAAAGCACTAAACTAGGGGAAGCCTGGTTGAGACTTAAGTTGTAGTCTTACAGGGTCTTTAGCTTCTCTACCAAAGAGTGTTGGTGCCTCACCAAACTAGAGGTCCAACAACAACACCAACAGCTTTATTTCTAGACCACCCTCTCTCCCTGAAGGGACTCAAGGCAGTTTACACATACAAAAAGGCATGCATTGAATCCCTCAGGTGAGTACAAACATATCAAAATAATACAGAATAAAGCAACAGTAATAACGGTAAGCTTATGATGAACAGTGAGCTTATGACAATTCCATAGCATTGATCAATGGTAATTGATTAAAGTGGTGTCAAGCTGCATTAATTCTACAGTGAAGGTGCAGCCAAAGAAACAGCAAATGCTAATATTCTTGTGATTCAAATTCTTGATATGTACAGTCAAAAATATAAAATTGCTTTCAGTAGTTAATGAAAACATGCCAGTGAAATCCATTTTTGGGATGATTTCCCCCTAAGTTATGCAGCCCTCTACTGTCTGTCACTGTGTTTGAGAGAGTCACCCAGTCCTCATGGGCATCTTTTATTAGGTGTGGTCTCAAGTAGGTGGTAGGACAGATTGAAGAAATGTTCCTGTCAAGGGAAGAGCTTGTTGAAAAATCCCAATATTATTGGTGTATACGACAACTTTAATGGTGATGGAAAAACCATAATACATTCTTCATATCAATTAGTTGGCTAAGACTATTTCTTAGCCAGCCAAAGTATTCCTGGTGCATAAATGTTCACTTGCGTGTTTAAGTTTTTATGTGATTGGGGTTGAAGTGTTTAGAATGCATCCTAATTAACTATGTAAAGGATCTTATTTTATTAACTGTTATTGAATGACAAGTTTTATGTCGTGCAGGTGTGTGATGTAATGCTGACACAATGGGAACACTGGTGGATGCAAAAGGCATAAAACCTTCTTCTGGAATTTTATTTCATGGAAGATAATGATAAAACTTAATTTAACTTAACATTATGTAAGAGACATGGGTTTTTTTTTAACACATTGATATATAGTCTGAAGATAAACAAAGGTAAATAAACCCTTTAAGAAAAAGTTCCTTAACCTCTTCCCTTGGGTTTTGTTGTTATGCAGATTCAAATAATTCCCAACTCATGGCAACCCTAAGAGAAGCCTATCATGGTTTTTTCTGGTGCTGAGAGTTTGTGACTTACCCAAAGTCACCCAATGGGTTTCCATGGGAAAGTGGGGAATTGAACCTTGGTCTCGAGAATTGAAGCTCAGCTCCAAACCACTACACCATTCTGATTACCAGAACATTATTTGAAAGTATTGGAAAAAGCAGCATGTTATCATAAGAGGCTTCTGATGACCTCATCACACTCACCTAAATCAAAGTTCTACAATGCTTCCACTTTGTCTTGGGGATGAAGCCCGAAGCTGGCCATCACACAACATGGTGTGATTTCCAGTGGAGACCCTGACCCCACCAGGATGGAAGCGTCATTGGACACTTCCCCCACAACATGGGAGCCAGCATGGATCTTCTGGTGACCCTTCCCAAGTGTGATAGGGAAAGCATTGCTGAAAAGGAGCTGCACGGGGATGATAGATTCTCCCTGCTGATCCACTCTTTTTGCCACAAAGCCAGGCGAAGCAGGACACTTTGCCTGGCCTTTATGGTGAGGCCCTAAGACAGATATTAGAAAAGCTAATCTTTTGGGTCATAGTTTTTAGAATCCCCCAACTATCATGGGTGCTTGCAATGCTGGCAAGGAAATTCTGGGAGCTGTAGTTCAAAAAATAACTTTTCCAATCATTGGTAAGAGCTGTTTCATAATGGAACCAATTACTCAGGAAAATGCAAGTCTTCAAGCAGAGAGTAGGCAGCTATCTACTGCGAATGCTAAAACCTATGACTTTTTGAGTTGTTTCAAAAATTTAACCAACCACATTTTTCAGTATGCAAATTCAATGAATTGTGATTTGTTTAAATGCTATATGTAAGGCTTTTTAATAACCATAGTTATGAAACAGCCATGCATTTCCCATACGCATACAATATTCTTCTTACAACTGTGATTGTGTTCGTCTGAAAAAATGAGCTATTTTTCATGTTAGTGATAACAAGCAGCCTCTTAAAACAATATAAAAATAACTTGCTAAATCTTAGTATGGAATAAGAAGACAATAACCTTTTGAAAAGCATCTGCTCCTAGACTTTTCTCTGTCAACACTAAAGATTAGTGAATGCAACACTTGCTCTTTGAGCACAGCAGACCCTGGCTTTTCTGGTGAACGCTTTTTTGCTGTGAACCCTTTGGTGAGCTTAGCCACTTTTAAACAATATGGGAAAACTTTAGTATTGGTGTTGGGCTGAGTGAGAAGTGATTAGGAATCTGAGACTAAACCATTGGCAGACCATAGTGTTGACAAGAAAAAAGCTTGAAGAATTTTGTTTTCTTTTCCAAATCTTGGTATTTAGGGAAAGCGTAGAGCACTCTCGGCTTTCTTAAGTGGTTGGTATCTGAAAGTTGCTGTGAGAGAAATTATGTGGTTTACAGTACAAAAAACTGGTTCCTTTTTTAATAATCCAAAATTAAGGTTGCGGGGATTAAAGGAGCTTCTTTATACTGAGCTGTGCCACTGGCAGTTACTTCATTAGTATAACCATCCCTCCACAATTTCAGTTTTGATTTTGGTGGATTTGATTATTTACAGATTTGATTAAAAATGTCTGTCTCAAAATCTCTAGATCCTCCAATTCAATTCTAAAGGTAGCATTCAGCAAAAGTTGACCGTAGAATTGTGCTCGAAGGCCTAGAAATTTCTAGACCGGTATTCTTTTGGATATTGTTTTGCTGTTTTTCACTTTCACACTGTTCCTGGTCTTCTAACCTTAAGGAATGTGGATGGCTGACTGTATTGTCAATTCTATGGACGGTCAGCTGCAATTCTAATGGTGACTTTTAACTATTTGCATTCAATGTTGAATTCACCAAGTGCTGCTGGCAACCTGAAGCAGCTTATTGAATGCTTTTAAAAATGGTCAAGATATACTTGTTTAGAGGAGCTTTTAAATTTATAATTTCTGGATTAAGAATTATCTCAAGTGCAGTGTTGGTTAGATAATAGATACCCATTGTATTTTAGGACCACTGATGTGCATCCAAAGGGCTGCCTGCCTTTCGTTTTCTTTTTACTAATATGATTTTTCAACATGTCAGAATTTTGTGGGGGGAAAATCCACTGCTCCTCATCAAAACTATTGTGTGGACTTGCCTTTGTTTACTTAGATTAGACACACACAAAAGGAATATTTAAAAATACATCTAATCTTTTCCTTTTTGAGGTTTCTACATATTTTAAAGATGAACATTGCTGTTTCTGTACAGAATTACACTTCAAAACTGACTTATTATGCGTACAATGTTTTATTTGGCTGTCATTCCCCAAATACAAAATCTAATAAGCTATCATCAAACATTTAAGAGAAGCATCAAAACTTCTGCTTCTCAACAGTGTGCACTAAGGCCAGGAAATTCTGGCCACTGTAAACACATGCAAGCATCCTGACCAAAACTCCATGGGATTTCCCTTTCCACCGCCACTGACAGATAACTTTTCTGCAGCATTAGCCACCTTTTAGCTAAATAGCTCAGCAAAGACTTTATGACAAGTGAGTGCTAATTAACCAGACACTTAACATGCAAAAACATTACCCGGTTTTTCCGTATACAGGGCATGAAAGGTCACAAGCTCTATATTAAGCAGACACATTCACAAGCTATATATTAAGCATATAAGCACCTGCTTTGTAGGTGAAAAGAAATTGAGATGAAGCTGTAGATAGAAATAAAAGTGTTTCAGTTGAACAAATAGTCACAATTTGGATTTAAGTAACAAGAAAGGAACACTGAAATGGACTTTGGCTCTTTAAGAGAGGTCTTCATGGAACTGAAGGAAGCCCAGTAAAGAAGGTTCATTACTGTGTTGATCCCAGCAATAAATAGATTTGATTACTATTACATTCTGATAAAGACCTTGTCACCAGAAGAGAATGGTGACTCAAATTCCTCTGGCTCCTCTCCCTTAGCCAACAAAACAAAAGAATTTGTTTTGTTGCAGGCACACAATCCAAGTAACCATTGTGTACATAGACTCAGTTAATGCAAGTTCAAATGGGGAAGGCCAATGCCAGAACAAAACTCAGAAGTTGTTGAGCTGGCTTCTCAGAATTGGCAGGGCAAGATAGAGCTCCTAGGAGCACATCAAATCTGAAGGGGAACAAGTTCGGACTTGCAGAATGGAACAAAGGGAGAGCAGAGATGCAAGAAATTTGATAATGCAGAAAACAAGAGCAACAAGTGTTTTTTGGGGGGGTGAAAGATGTAGCTCTGGGTAGAAGGAGGCCGAGATGCAAGCCTGACATGCATGTAATTAGGAAGGAAATTCTGCAAAGCCAAATGATGGGAAATTTAGGAAGCATTCCTTCACACAACACAAACCTAAATAATAGAATTCGTGATCACAGGATGATCTGATGTTGTCAATTGAATGGGTTGAAAGGGGGGTTAGACAAATTCAAGGAGGATAATACTTTTAATATCTACCAGTGAGTCATCATAGCTACATATTGGCTCATTCAAAACCTGGCCACGATGGGGACCATCTGCTAGACTTAACAGGATGAACAATCCACTGGGTGTATCTCTGAATACCAGTTGTAGGCAGATGTTTGCAGAGATGTGACCAAAGAAAATAACTTTCAGCATCTTGGATCAGCCATGGAATTAGGATTTTTCAAATAGGAGATGTGGAGTATTTTTGATCCCCAGTTAGAATTCCAGGGCATTCAGAATTAAATGAAATTAATTGTTGTTAAGGTTAGGGTTGGACATTTTAAATTTGAATTCTAAAGTACCTACAGTGGTGAAAATTTTGATTTCTCATGGAATGAAGTTCCACATACTGACACACTTCACCAAAAAAAATGACATGAGACTTTTGCCCACCCACCCCACCATAAATCATATAGGTTTGGAGAGTAAAAATACCCAAAGGCAATAGACTTCCTCAATTTTTGTGCAAGCTGGTTTAGTTGTAGTTTTTGAAAAAAGACCTGTGCATCACAAGTGGCTAAAATTAAGGAAATAGCCGAAAACTACAAAGGTGAAAATACCAGAGATTGTCTACATTGTAAGTCTATTTAGAATCATAGTTGGAATTAACCACAAGGACCATCCAATCCAACCATCTGCTATACAGAAACACACAATCAATGCACTCCTGACACTTGCTCTCTGCTTAACCCCCCCCCCCCCCAAAAAAAAAAAAGAATGCTCAATCACACCCCTGCATGGATTCTACACCAGAAAACGAAGAACCAAAATATCCTTTATCGAGTATGGAGATGAATATTCCTGCTTTCTTGACACTGAGGTTAGAGGTAAATTATTGTTTTGCAAAAAAAAAAATCCCTCTTAAGACTTAAGAATCAGTAAGATTAATCAGAGTAAGAACAGAGTAAAGATGGCTCCTTTTGTTCATTACAAGAATATCCTCATTATAAACATTAAAAAGAAGGCTAACAAGATATTTACTCCTGGAAATTTGAAATATAATTCAAGACCTTTCTGTAGGACCAAATAAAATTTTACATAGTGAAAGTTTCTAGCTTTGTAGTCCAGAAAAGTAACTTGATAAAACTGTGGTTTGTCAGCTGTTAAATCTATCTCTGCAGATTTGTATAGGGCATGGTAAACTAGTGTGTGTTCCTGTACTCAGGGCTGAATTTCCTCTTATAGGCTTTTAATCTGTGCTGGGATCGAGTTTAGAATCCACAAACTTCTCTCCACTTTTTTTGAGGAGAAAACCTGATTTTTGGAGAAAACCAGATGTTCTCTTGGCCACTCTTTGCCAACCTGGATGGTGCTTGTGGAGCTAATCAGACTTGGTAATCAGGGAACCTGAACTGAATGTTGGCTATTGTTTTCTTCTCATTTTGTATTTTGCCATGTATATAATTGAGAAGTATCTTGAAATAATGTAGTCATCAAGGCTTGATCAGAAGCCAGAAACATGCAGCGGCAGGGCTTTCCCCACTCCCTCCCCTTGCCATTCACTAGCATATAAATATAGTCTTGACAGTGCTTCCCATCTGACCCATCTCATAAAAGTGAAGCTGTGTACATAAATAAAATCTAAACTATCATTATTTTTGTGAAGATAAGAGATTTCAGCACTCAGTTAATTTTTTTCCTCTTTAAAGTTGAAACAAACAGAAGAGAACATGAGATTTATTTTCCTCAGCTTACATACATGTGAGTGGGTGAACTTTTAATTGTAAAGTTCCCATCTTCCATTGCCTTTAGCCATAATGATTAAGGAGGATGGGAGTTGGAGTCTGGGAACATTTGGATGTTAGCTACTTCTGCTGTAAATAGTGTTGTGAGATGTAGAGAGTTTTCATTTTCACGACTGCTTATTGTCTCCTTTCCTGAAGGACAGGGCAAATGGCACATTTGGTTAAATACAGCATGTGTTCCTAGGTCTAATAAAATATAAGACAGGAAGAAAATGTTCTGTGGCTCTCTCTCTCAACATAATTTTAATCATTTCATTTGTCTAATTTCATTAGCCATTGTTTCCAAAATAATTGTAAATGCTGCCAGATTTCCAAAATGAGGCACCGTTTTCCTTCCTTTAGCTGAGAAAGAGCTAAAAACCTATTCAGAGTAAATGAAGTCCGTACATATTTACAGGAAATACACTATTATTTTCACAATCTCTTGAGAGGAGAAAAGGAGACGGCCACCTGCATCTGTTCAGAACTAAAGGTCAATCAGTAGGATTAAGAGACCAGGGAGTTATATCAGACCTAGAAGCCCCACTTTTCTAGGTCGACAGTCATGTGCAAGGCAATTACAGCAGATGGTTTTGCTCCATTGTAAGATATTTTACAATGGGTTTTTTTGCAACACATACAGTGTTCTATGGCTCTACTTTGGACATGCCTCAAGTGCCGGTCTACTGTACAATCTTGCAGTCCGGCAGGAATTACCTGGTTGTTCCCTTCCTTGTACCGTGATATCTGAGTCCTCAGGGAGCACAGTCTTGAACTCCATTTTGTATGTCAAGTGGAGACATCATGCTGTAAAATATACATATCTGTGGTTAGTTCTTACACTCGTATGCTTAAACTGCAATGTTTATTTCTTGAGAAAAGGTATGAAATGCCCCATTCTTGTCCATTCAACATTTCCAGGTCTTCAGTGACTCAAGTGTCCATTTAAAGTTTACATTTTAAATATGTGTACACCTTTGTGCTAACATGTTGGCTAAAATCCTTTTGCCGTTGCACAGTAAAATAAATTGACTGAACCTAGAATTATCCTCTATTCTGGACTATCCATCAGGATTCCAGTTGAGGTACTATGTCCTTTTGTATCTATTTTGGGGAATAAATTATCATAAGCAGTGCTGATTTTGACTTTGAGTAATCTAGACATGCTTATTTTCACAAAAGTTTCCACACGGGTTTTACCAGTTGTGGTATCAGTATTTTACATCTAGGGAAAGATTTCAAGTTACATAATGTTAAAGGAAGAAAGAATTTGATGAGGCCAGGAAGCAAGGATCTACATACACCCAAAGGATCTCCAGAATTTACTGGAGAATGGAGATCATTGAATGGCAACATTCAATAATTCAGAGACCACAAAAGGAGTGGGGTTGTGAAGGGAACACATAGGAAAACACATCTATGGGACTTTTTCAGAGCAAAAGCAGTATCAACTGCCAGCATGGAAGAAATATAAATTAATGTGGTGGTAATGAGGCTTAGATATTTTACTACCATGTTTGCTACCATGCAGCACTGAGCATGGTGTCCTCTGCATATGTTGGACTCCAACGTTCATCATACTATTCTGTGTACCCAATTGCTATTCCAGCTAGGTAGGATTAGGGTCCAAGATACCTGGAGCTGTCCAGGTTGGAGAAAACTGACAGACAGAAAGCCAGAGAATGATAGAATTAATAAAATAAGACTGGGTATTCCTTTCTTATTTATTTTTTTAAATGATGAGGTTCTAACTTCATCCAAGTAGCAATTTTAAGTGGCAGGATTTCCTTGAAAGATTTGTTTATCTTTTAAATTAAAACTAATAGTTGCATTTAAACAGGTCTATGATCTCTTGATAGACAATGATGTGCATTACAAATTATGCAGTCAGAAATGAGCATCACTGTGTTCTGTGGAGCTTAATTCCTGGTAAGTCTGTCTTAGCTTGCAAACATGACTCATAAATGTAATAGTGAGTTTTCATTAGTAGCTTGTTTAATAATAATAATAATCATCATCATCATCATCTTTATTTATACCCGGCCACCATCTCCCTGATGGGGACTCGGGGCGGCTTACATGAGGCCAAGCCCAACAACACAAACAATAAATGAAATCAAAACACACCATAACATGATAAATTACATGAAACATAAAAATACAGCAAACAATATAAAATCATAACACAGTGATTGTGACAGTGACAGGGCCACATGTACGGAATAAAATACTAAAGCTAAAAACTAAAAACACTAAAAACACAGGATGAGATAGGGATGGAGCAGATTATTTGTAAAGGAGAAACTCTTCAGAAGTGAGGTCAAGAAGGGTCTTCATACAGGAGAGGAGGAGGTGTACTCTAAGGGCAAACATTGAGAGGTAGCAGCAATATCAGATTGTATGGTTAATCATCAAAAGTGCAACGGAAGAGCCAAGTTTTGAGATTCTGTTATTTGTTAGAGTTGTCTATGTTTTATGATGGAGATTTTAAACAAAATCTTTACTAATTTGAGAACAAATCACAACTTGTAATTATAGTAGGACCTCCACTTTCATGGCACAGAAGCCCCGTGGAAGTGGAAAAAGCACTTTAAAAAAAAGGTATTAAAAAAATTGTGATCCCACCGATCCATGATCATCTGGGGTTACTCTCTTTTATTTGTTTCTTATAATTATTATTTGTGTGACAACGGTTGACCATAGAGTTACCCTGGTGGACCTAGAGATTCCTAAAGAGAACATATTAATCAAATCTTCAAATAGTCAAATCTACAAAAGCTAAACCTACATATATGGAGATCCAAAAGCAATGGGTTTAAAGTAACACCATTATTTGCTACTTGTTTCTCTGGCCCCATCTATACTGCTATTATAATGCAGTTCAAACTGCAGTATATGGTCATATTATCCAATGCATTTAAGCTGCATTATATGAGTCTACACTGATCATAAAATGCAGTTCAGTCTGCAATATAATGGCAGCGTAGATGGGACCGCTGCATCTCTCCTTCATGTTCTGTTTTTTAAGTGGTGAAAACAAAACTCTTACTTTTAACACTGGATGGATTTTTAGATAAACAAATTCACAGAACGGCCTGAGATTATGATTTTTGGATGGTGTATTTTGATATTGAATGTAATTTTAAATTTTTAAATATGTATTAATTTTAATTCAATGGATTTTAAGCTTAATGTTGCATAGGTTTAAGGCATTGAATATTTGCCATATGTAAGCTGCCTTGAGTCCCCCTTGGGTTAGAGAAAGGCGGAGTATAAATAGGGTAAACAATAAATAAATAAACACTTGATTTTTTAAAATGGTACTCTAGGGAGTTGGGACATTTTTAGAGTGTTTCTTGTATTTGTTTTGTTTTGTGAAAAATAATGTTAAATGTAATGCACTGATAACATTGTATATTATTGGCAATGCATTACTCTTGAAAAACTACAACCAGTGATTGTTTTCCCCGACCTGATATGCTCCAAAAATGTTAAGACAGTAATATCCATCTTCACCAGCCAACAAGGTATCTGAGATATGTAAGACACCAAGTTAAGGAAAAGCTGCTTCGCTGGATTCTTTACCAGGCTTGAATATTTATGGTGGAGTGGTGGAATAAACCTGTGACAAATGAACAATACGTTTCCAAAGCATGTGTCACAGGAGTTTTTGATGGGGTATATTCCAATGTCTTTCTTTTCCATTCTTAACATACTCTGGCCAGTACAAAAGCACAATCTCTGAAGTGGAAATATATTTTCTCAATAGAGAATTAAAATCTTCAAAGCAAGAGTCATCCCTTGAACTTTGTTCGTGTATTACAAGAAAACAGGAGCCACAAAACATAAAATTTAATTGAGACTTGCTAGAGTCAGGCTCCATCTAACCGAGTATTAAAGGTCACATTAGCTTTTCGTTAAGGAGAAGCAGATCAGACGCTTGGTGAAATTCCTATGGAACTTTCTAGTCCCGGCTGGTGATGTAATAGCCGTTCTCAAGTGCCAGTGTGAATTGTTTGTTGAGTTGCTTCAAATGGGACTTTTACAACTAAATCTCTCCATATTTGATAGGGTTTAATTTAAGAGTTGGTGAGCATTTTGACAGTCCCAGAGTCACCAGAGTATATCTGTTTATTAAGGACAGACAGCTTTATAGCCAACATAAACATAATCTAATGTTTATTGTGGTAAAAAATTGAAACTGAGGGTTAACCAAAAATAAGGACCAAAGAAAATCCTTTTAGCATGGTCAGATGCTATAAATAACAGTTTGAAGTTTTATTGTGCTTTTTGGCTTATTATTGGTTTAGAAATTTAACAGTAAATAATGATTAATTCCTTGAATGAGGCACAGCACTGGAATATATGCAATTTTTAATCTATTTTGTCCTTATGTACCATTTTAAAAAGAGATAGCATTGTATAGTGGTTTGAGTGCAGAACTACAACTCTGGAGATGATCTGAATCACTGCTCATCCATGAAAATCCATTGGGTGATTTGGGGGCAAGGCACAAACTTCAGCGTCAGAGGAAGGCAAAGGGAAAATAATAATAATAATAATAATAATAATAATAATAATAATAATAATAGGTTATTATTGGTAAATAATAATAATAATAATAATAATAATAATAATAATAATAATATCCTGTCACCATCTGCCCAAAAGAACTCAGGCAGCTTACAAGGCACTCCAGGGCGCACATATAACATACAACAGGTACAAATGGTACAAAAGTATAAAACAAGTCACATAAAATTGTAACAACCCCTGTCAACACATGTAGCATAAAATGCCTCTGAAATCTTCCCAAGAAACCATGTGTTGGCTCAAGTGAGAAGTGATTTGAAGGCACAAAACAACAAACCATTTTAAAAAGCAGAATGGTGTCAAGTTCCTTATTATATTTTCAGGAGCTCCTAATTTAGCCAACAAATTTCATTATAGGTTTTTCTGAAATATTCTGATGCCTGTTAAAGTGAATCTTGGGATAAAGAATTTTAAAGCCACAAAACCAGGAAAGAGTTGCCTTCACTATGTTCCTGCCTAAACATATCTTTACTCTTCAGCCTTCAAATGTCTGAGACCTGCTTGAAGCATTAGCAAATCTGCAAAGTGCTGATTGCCCCTCTCCTCATGATGTCACCAAGGAAATTCAACAAGACAGTTTTGTATGTTTAGAGTGTTTCTTTTGAACCATGTGTGGTATAATAGCTACAATGGCTGCAAAGATAGCTGCCAAAAAGTTATTTAAAAGAGATATTTACATGTTCAATTCTAGCAACTTTACTCCTGTTTGTGAGAAGTTTGTTGTATATTGCAAGAAGGTTTTTTCTTTGCTCCTCTTTGTGGAAGCTGAAGATACTTTTTTCCCTCTTCAGCTTCAGTTTCTAATTTATTTATTGTGTCAGAAGCAAATTGAGAATACCGTTATAATGTATAAAAAACCACAAAGGAAGTTTAAAACTTGGTATTATACTAAATGTCCTTTGACCAGAAGCTGGCCACTTCCAGTGCTTCTGGTGTCGCTGTAAGAAGGTCCTCTGTTGTGCATGTGGCAGGGCTCAGACTGCATTGCAGTAGGTGGTCTGTGGTTTGGTCTTCTCCACACTCGCATGTTGTGGATTCCACTTCAGTCAGAAGGTACTGTGGTTTTAACTTGAATACACATGATCATCCCTTGCAGCTGCTCCCAACTCTTCACGTGAAGTCCTACTCCCATCCCTCCATCTTCTCCATCTTCTGTCAAGACCTAGATCCCCCCAAGACTCAGTTGTATTCCCTGATTGCCAGTCTTCACTTCC